CATAAAAATAAAAATAAACAAATTTAAACAATCAGATCTAAATATAACTTTATGCCCGTGAGGTTGATTGCTGCCTAGATAACCTCTAAATAATCTTCACTACTCTCAAATGAACCATATTTGAAAATCCCAATTCAATAACGAGTTTTCATTGACCCGATTATTCCGGCGAACCAGGACCAAAACCGTCATTTACGGTCACTTAGCCAAAAATAGATTGACACGTGTCGCCACCCTCTTAGATATAGGCTCCAGGCAAAAAACTAACGACTAAGATCTGTTTGAAATAAAGTGATATAAAAGGAAAGCTCCTTTGGTTTTTTCAGAAATTTTGAACCCATTCAGGGCGGGGCTGTTCCGGATCCAATTTCTCATTTGGTTCTTCTTTAGATTTATCAGGTGATTACCAATTTTCATCGTCTTTTGGTATCGATTTGGGTTTGTTTTCCATGGAAAATGTTAGGAAAAATGTCTTGTGAATTTTAAAGTAATCTGCTTCAATGTGTAAGTAAGGGCATTTTTATTTAAAATGGCTCCTTATAAAAACTAATTCTTGAAAAGTTATATACTATATTGGAGTTTTCGTAGTATGATGAATGATTGGTAAAACAAACAAAAAAGATCATTGAATGTTATGGATTTAAAGAAGAACATTTTAATCAAATTTTTCGAATGGTGGATTTTTTTTACTAGAATGATTATATTATTATGCGTTACTATGTATATATTGATGTAAAAGGATAAAGTTTAGGTACACTGCTTCATTTTGCGATTGTTTTGTTACTGGTCTTTGATTCATATTCAGATAAAGAATAAAAAATGGCGGACGGTGAAGACATTCAACCGCTTGTTTGCGATAATGGAACTGGAATGGTTAAGGTAAAGTTTCCCTAAATGCAATGTCACTTAAGACTATTCCATAAAGCAGTCAACTAAAATATGAAATCTTTTGGGTTTAGGCCGGATTTGCGGGTGATGATGCACCAAGGGCGGTTTTCCCGAGCATTGTAGGCCGTCCACGCCACACGGGTGTGATGGTCGGGATGGGACAAAAGGATGCTTATGTTGGAGACGAGGCTCAGTCAAAACGTGGTATCTTGACCCTCAAGTACCCAATTGAGCATGGAATTGTTAATAATTGGGATGATATGGAGAAGATTTGGCATCACACTTTCTACAACGAGCTTCGTGTCGCCCCTGAAGAACATCCGGTTCTCTTAACCGAAGCTCCCCTCAATCCAAAAGCTAACCGTGAGAAGATGACTCAGATCATGTTTGAGACATTCAATGCTCCTGCAATGTATGTTGCCATTCAAGCTGTTCTATCACTCTATGCCAGTGGCCGTACAACTGGTATGTATCACACACTTATTTCTCTTTCCGAACATTCGTTGTGGTGCATGCATTAGCTTTGTGTTCTATGAATTGGCTATTGATTGGTTCTAGGTTCGGGCATTTTGGTTTTCGGTTTTGTGAAGAGTTGGTCCAAGCTAGAACTATTATGTTTTGTTTTG